GAAAAACAAAAGGCTAAAGGCAAAGGTATAAGTTGTAGGAGCCATTTTGTTTTAGTGATTGAGACACTTAGTGAGTGTGATCACATTTAGGATAAATGGTCGTACTAGATGCTCTAACTCATTACATATGCATTTAAGATCTAGTGGAGGGCAAACACCCTTGAAAATGTTTATGAAAATATGCTAACACATGTGCAGTTGATACACTTTGTGGTTGGCACATTTGAGGAAGGATGAAGAAGATAGAGGTGAAAAGAAGTTAGTTGCGCTGGTCACAGAGTGACCGGACGCGTCCGGTATGGTGATCGGACACGTCTGGTATTAACGACGAACTCAGCAACCGGACGCGTTCGGTGTGAATCAGCAAAGTCGATGTTCAGTGAAACAGTTGATCGGACGTTGGCAGCGTCCGGTCCGGAGTGACCGAACGCGTCTGGTTGACCATGGGTGCTTACTGGACTCGACCGGACGCTGAGGCTTAACGTCCGGTCAGTTTCTAACAGACGCGTCCGATCGGCCTCGGGTACTCTCTGGACTCGGCCGAACACTGCATCTCTCATGAAAAACATGGATCAAGATGTTTGAGGCATTCAACTTTCAAATGCCATGAAGAACATAGATATTGGTGAATTAAGGACTAGGCAAGTGAATGATGATGAAGATGATCAAGTGCAAGTGCTCTCTAACTCAAATGTGCAAGATGATACAAATCAAGCTAGTACAAGTGGCTCTCATGAAAATGAACAAGATCAAGTGGCTAGTACATCATCTCAACCCAATGATCAAGCAAGTGCAAGCAATCAAGTTCCAATCCTCCAACTAACCAATATTGCAAGGGATCATCCATTGGACACTATAATTGAAGATATTTCTAGAGGTGTACAAATAAGATCAAGATTGGTATCATTTTATGAGCATTTCTTATTTGTGTCATCCATTGAACCAAAAAAGATAGATGAAGTATTGAAAGATGTTGATTGGGTGAATGCTATGCATGAAGAATTGAATAACTTCACAAGAAATCAAGTATGGGAATTAGTAGAGAGACCAAAGGGATACAATGTAATTGGAACCAAATGGGTCTTTAGAAACAAGCAATATCAAGATGGGATAGTAGTAAGGAATAAAGCAAGATTGGTAGCACAAAGCTATACACAAGTTGAAGGTCTTGACTTTGGAGAAACATATGCCCCGATTGCTAGATTGGAAGCAATTAGAATCTTGCTAGCCTATGCTTGTGCCCACAACATCAAACTCTACCAAATGGATGTTAAGAGTGCATTTCTCAATAGTTACATCAATGAAGATTTATATGTTGAGCAACCTTCCGATTTTGAAGACGACAAGAAGCCCGGCCATGTGTACAAGTTGAAGAAGGCATTGTATGGCTTGAAGCAAGCACCTAGAGCATGGTATGAGAGATTGAGGGACTTCCTACTCTCTAAAGGGTTCATGATGGTCAAGGTTGACACCACTCTTTTCATCAAGAAGATTGGAAAAGATTTATTTGTGTTACAAATCTATGTTGATGACATCATATTTGGATCAACCAATCAAGATTTTTGTGATGAGTTAGGAAAGATGATGGCTAATGAGTTTGAGATGTCCATGATTGGAGAGTTGAGTTACTTCCTTGGCCTTCAAATCAAGCAATTGAAGAATGGTACATTTGTAAGTCAAGGCAAATATATCAAGGACATGATCAAGAAGTTTGGCATGAGTGATAGAAAAGCCATTAGCACACCAATTGATCAGATACAAGAACCAGATATGGATTGGCCACAACTCAGCCTTGCAAACTAAACTAATTACTGCCTTTCATTCAAGTGCTATTGGTGGCCATTCTGGAATAAAGGCAACATATCAGAGACTCAAAAACCATTTTGCTTGGAAGGGGATGAAGCAGGCAAAGTAGAAGCGTTCATCAAGCAATGCGAATCTCGCATGACAAGCCAAACACTCTCACAACCATCCTGCCGGACTCCTTCAGCCCCTACCCATACACGAAGGGGTTTGGAGGGATCTTTCAATGGATTTTATCGAAGGGTTGCCAAAATCACAGGGCTCCAGTGTCATAATGGTGGTAGTTGATAGACTCACCAAATTTGCTCACTTTGTGCCGGTCAAACACCCTTACACGCTACCGCTATTGTTCGACTATTCTTGGACAATATTGTCAAGCTCCATGGTTTGCCCCAATCAATTGTTTCGATTGGGATACTATATTCATCAGTGCTTTTTGGCGAGAGTTGTTCAAACTATACAAGGTGAACTTACTTATGAGCACTACTTATCACCCACAAACTGATGGACAAACGGAGCGAGTAAACCAATGCCTTGAGATGTTTCTTCGTTATGCGAGTCCAGATGCCCCCTGCTACATGGAAAGCTTGGCTTTCACTAGCCGAGTTATGGTACAACTCCACTTATCATACATCTCTGGGTTGCTCTCCTTTCAAAGCTCTATACTGGTATGAACCCAATGTGGGTGCTACTCCAAGTGTCTTCTACCATACCATCTCTGAGAGCTGAATTGGTGGAGAACAGGGAACTTCACTTGCAGTCCCCAAAGCAAGACTTAGCAAGAGCTCAAAACCGCATGAAGGTCATGGCGGCGTGAAGCGTCTTGATTTGCAATTCAAGTGTTGGTGATCAAGTCTTGTTGAAGCTTTAGCCATATACCCAATCCTCTGTGGCAAAGCAGACCTTTCCGAAGTTGGCATATAAGTACTATGGTCCCTATACGGTCATTGCAAAAGTGGGCTCCACTGCATATAAGTTGGATCTGCCCGGTGATGACAAGAAGATACATAACGCTTTTCATGTTTCACAGCTCAAACCATTCCTCACAGACTACTCTCCAAAGGTACTCAGAGCTTCCAGTTACTAACGACATCGAAGTCGCTCATTGCTACTCCTGAAGTGGTGTCAGAAGCGTTGTCTTGTGAAGAAAGGGAACTCAGCAGTTCCGCAAGTCCCGATCAAGTGGACGAGCTTACCAGAAGCATCAGCCACATGGGAGGATTACAATGTGCTGCGCCAACGCTTCCCAGAAGCACATGCTTGGGGACAAGCAGGATCATCGGCGGGGGGAGCTGTCAAGCCGGTGAACACTAAGACCTAAAGATGGTGCGCGCCTTAAAGCATTTACGTTTTCATATTTCCTAAGCGTACTTTTATTACATTGATGTAAGACATTATTATGACTTGTGGGTCCTAGGCCGGTCGGGTATTTAGCTTGAGCAGTAAGACGATGTGAACTATTCCAAATCTGGTAATAGATAGATCGAGGCTGAGGAACCTTTCCTCGCTCGTTCCCCACTCTCTTGATCTCTCTCGATCTCCTTACGGCGGCGGCGATAGCCGGCGGCAACAGGGCGTGACAGTGTGCCGTGAACACGGAGGACGACATGGCGGCGGACAGCGACATCGGTGCTGACTACTGAGGCGCTGCCCAATGAGGTAGTCGTGACGGAGATCCTCGCCCGGCTGCCGGCCAAGTCCGTGGGGCGCTTCCACTGCGTCTCCCGCGGGTGGTCCGCCGTGCTCTCCTCCGACTACTTCATCGGCCTCCACCGCCAATGAGCCAACAGACCGGACCACCTCAGGCTGCTCCTCACCACGAACAGGTCCTCCTACGAGGCTACGACGGCTACCTGTACTCATGGCAGCCCGGCGGTGACGGTGCGGTCGAGAAGCTGATGCGAGACGATTTCGGGTTACAGTATGTCTTGACCAAGCCCTGTCGTGGCCTCGTTCTAATCCGAGCCACCGACTGTGACGGCTACTATGTCGTCAATCCTTGCTCCGGCAAGGCCCTGGGTCTGCCAGACAGCCTGGTGCCTTTTAAGATGGCATACAAAACTTCAGGAAGACCGGTGGAGCCACCCTGCTATCTTTGGGTCTCCTACGGCCTTGGTTACTGCACGACGAGAAAGGAGTACAAAGTCGTGCGCTTGTTCTCCAACCTGTCTTCCGGCCCTGAACCTGGAGATGGAGGTGGTGGCTTTACGCCCACGACATGCGAGAGTCTTCATCCTCGGCACTGGCTGAGGCCCCAGTTCTTTGGAGGCCTAGTCTTTGAGAGATCTCCCTTCCGCTCCGTGCCACAGTGGAACCCAATTGTCTTCTTAGATAGCTATCTGCACTTCCTATGCTTAGATAGCTATCGTCACTTTCAGCATCGGCGATGAGACCTTTGGTTCATTGCTTTGCCGCCCCTGTGTTTTGGCAATGTGGTGGTTGGCCGCGTCCGTCTTGGTTTTGAGCTGGACGGGCGTTTTGTGTGTGTGCTATGGGGAGCCGAACAGTGATGATCCTTTGGTTCTATGTGTTCATAACAACAAGGAAGCCTGGTGGGAGAAGCTTTCTTTGTATTGATCGGACGGCTTGGCGGAATCTGAGCGCATGCTTCTCAAGTCACTCACTGGATTGCCCCAATAGGTGTATATTACTCATCATTGGGGATCTGAAGATCATGTTTGGGACAGGCTCTTGCAAGGTGTTTGTAGTGGACTCCAATGGCGGCGGCAGCGATCCAGAGATTCTATTGAAGCCAGAGGATACCATCATTGGGAGCTGCGAGGATGACTATTTGCCGACGATTGGTCTATATGAGGAGAGTCTCGTGTGCCCCTGGGCCGCATAATTGAGGACATGATCTTCTCATCGCCAATACCGCAGCTTGGTTCAACATCCTCAAGTGGCTGCCGCACGCTCCCTTTGGAGCTTTGAATGGTCTGCAAGGAGTGGCGTGGAATGATCATGAGTGATTGTTTCATCCGGTCGCATGTCATCCACGCAAACTACTTGAAGAGGAGCCCACATATCATGTTCATCATCGACCCTACCTATGGTCACTATGTGCATCGGAGGAATGCATTCGTGATCCAAGATTACTAATGCCATTTCTCGCCAGAGTTTGTTGTGTGTTCCCAGCCTTGCCACGGCCTTAATGTGGGAATTGGTCTCATGCAAATTATTTCATATGCAATCCTATCATGAGGTACTTTCAGTGCATAACATTTGATGATGGCGACGAGACGTTCTTCGCTGGTCGTATTGGGTTGGGTTACAACACAGAGATTGACGAGCATGTCTTGGTGCATATCAACTACAAAGAGAAGAACCTAGAAACGAGATCTTATGAGCTGAACTGCCCTAAGAAGCATGTGAATGGCGAGGGGTGGTATCAAATAGACCCTCCTCCTAGACCAGTAGCTCCCGTACAGCCGACCTTCGTCAATGGCAAGATCTACTGCATAGTAGAGCCTAATCTTGGACCGGTTTCTGCAAGATGTGAAATCGTTGCGTTCGATGTCATGACAGAGGAATTTGAAGTCCTGCAAGGTCCACCGTGCGCCCATGGCGTTGGACATACGACCATCCTCGAGTTCTATGGTACACTTTGTATTTCATATTCAGGCCAGAGCAGGAACACGGTTGATCTATGGATGATGAAAGATGCTGGTATCTGGTTTATGGAGTATCATATAGTGCTTGACGAGTTATCAAAGAAGGCTACACCATTGGCTGTTGACCCAACGGATGGACAGATTTTGCTCAACATAGGTTTGTCATTGGGCTACTATGACCCCAAGACAGCAGCGTTTGAGACCCTCATCATCGCAGACCGCATCCCAGATTGCCCTGATGACTATGAGATCTATCCTATTGTTTGCCATGAAAGTTTAGTTTGCCTGCTACAGTACTAGGTGCTGTCCTACTTTCTGTGTTCTTAGGCTCTTAGCTAGGATGCCCATTGATGGTTTGCCTTTGTTTGACAGAATCATTTCCACAAGAAGTTAAAGCATGTGACGCCAATACATTGATGATTATGATTATGTAGACTTGGTTGTAGTTAATTTCCTAGCATCTGTGTTGCATCTTCTTGTCTGAATAAATCATAAAAAAAACTCAGCTCTTCTGTGTTCACAGAATAGCCTTGGCTGTAGTTAATTTCCTAGCATCTGTGTTGCATCTTCTTGTCTTAATAAATCATAAAAAAACTCAGCTCTTCTGTGTTCACAGAATAGTGCCAAGATAGTTTTATACCTGTTTTTCTATGAAACCCATCTTACTTTGCATTGCAAATTTGCACAGCAGGAAGGAATGACCATTATTTTGGTTCTATGTTGTTTGAAATGATCATGTAAAAACTCAGCTCTTTTGCATTCATAGATTAGCGTCAAGTCAGATATGGATCTATTTTAATTTGTCAAGCCTATCTTTATCCACTTTCAAATTTGCACAGTATGAAGGATGGTTAATATTCTGGTTGTATGAGCTCTAGCATTTTGGTAACTTTGGAAAATAATTACTTAAGGTTTACATTTTTTTTTTGTTTGACTATCTTCTGATGGATGTCCTCCTCGCTGGACACTGGTGCATATTCATCTGAATTAGACTGGTCATACACTGGTCTCCTTTTGCTGTCAATTGATGAATCTCCTCGTTGATTATTATTTACCAGAATTAATTATACATATCTCAGTTTGACCATCAAAAGATGAATATCCTCACTGGTTCTTAAATCACCAAAATTATACATGTCTCAGTTATAGCAGAGCCTGTACGTTCTTACCGGTCCTATTTTTTTCATGTTTGTTTGAATTGCATGAGAGCTCAAAATTTAGTTTCTCTAAAGATAGCTGCACAAGATATTATTATATTGTTCAGACTTGTAATTGAATGGTGCCTTCAATTTTATATACATAATAAAGTACACAAAAATAGAATATATCAAAGTTAAATTCGGTTATAAGATCAGTGGCAAATGATTTTTATTATACTGTTCGCCTGCATTCCAATTTTGTAAGAGATCAAGAAACGGTTAAGCAACAATCAACAGGTTATTAAAGTGACAATCAGCAAGTAAATAACCCTTGAGTCATGACATGTTTTGAAAGTTGGCAGTTGGCCAGTTGCCGAACATGGCAGGCCAGAACCTACACATCAATAGCCAACAAAAATGGCCTAGTAACAGTACTTGGTGGAGTAGTCCTTTGGAGCAATCATCAGACCACAGCCCCTATACCCAGTCTCTACAATGTCAATAAACTCATGCTTGTCCTTCAAGGTCCAATTGATCTTATTGTTGTTTCCTGTCCCAAGATCAATCATGATGCGCTTGTTTCGGAAGAAGAACATCATCTACTTGTCAACACGAAAGTACTAGCAATAGTGTTCTTGTATTTGAATCGGCTATAGTTAGAAGTAGTGCACCCCCAAGATCCCAGCACATCATCTGCTTGTCAACAGTATGCCAAAACACCAATAGCTAGTCAAACTTTACAACTCTGACTAAACAAAATCACTGCAATTTACACTTTTAATTAGCACCATTAAGCAGCTTAGATGAACAATATATTAAACCTGCATAGTCATCAACTCACCGTACCTCTACAAATTCGTGACCGCACAGGTTCAACATCCACACGCCATGTCCATGTCCAATTGACAAGTAGTTCCAAAAGACAAGGGAAAAATTCACAAAGGCACATGGTCTTAGGACCAATAATTATACATTTAAAAATTTCAAGGACTTAAAATTTAAAGGTGAAGTGGAATATAACTTTTTTATCTAAAAACCAATAATGCAGAATGCATTATTTATTCATAGTAAGAAAATCTTGCAGAGATAAACTAATTCTTTCCCATTCTATTCCCACATAGGACTAACAAACTATCCTCTAAAAAATAGCTGAAGATGACAACAATTTAATTTTCAACAATACAAACATTTTTTTATAAGCTAAAGTAGTACTGCTTCCTTGGGATCCCCAATCCTGTACCATACCCAATACGAATCACAACATAAATGAACCCAACCGAGCTTGCTTTATATCGACGAATGTTCGCGTTTAATTTACTGGAGCTAAATTAGCAAAGTCAATACACTTCACCTTCCTGCTTGACTCGGTTCTCCTAAACCCCGTCCTGCCATACATATGGCCATCATCTCCACAACAGACCCTAAACCCCAATTTCACAAAGTCCTCACCGGGACGATCAACCCCCAAGCCCATGACTGCGTCCCAAATAACAGCACAAGAGACATCCACATACATGAATAACACTAAATGCAAGCAAATCTCACCAATCAGGCCTCACTAGTAGAAAGCTAAGCTTAGGCGGTCGAGGAGCCAGTTACCTACATGGCTGCATGCATGTCTCGTCCCAGTCAATACACTTCATGGGAGAGAGAGATCGGCTCCTTGGAATATGAAAGCTGGCTAAGAGATGAACCGACTCTTTTTTTTAGGGAAGAGATGAACCGACTCTAATTGAATGAGTTCTGCCGTTCTGGAGTCGGACTCATGCTGGGCCGGTTCCTTTAATTTTCTTCCCAATACAAACACTGGGCTGGGCTCTCTCCATCACTCTATGGCTTGGCCCATGAAGTGTGCTCTCAATGCACAAGGTGTGAGGGGTTAACCAACGTGGGATGAAAGTAGAGCATATATATGTTGATGTGGTTTGTTTGTGTGCAGTACTGTACGCACACTCTAAAGAGACTTACACAATTTCATCCCCTAGGGGCACATCCAGCCAGCCACTCCTCTGAAGAGCATGGCGTCGCCATTTCCGATTCCGCTGGGTACTCTTGTGATCAAAGTAGAAGATGAAAGGGAGAGTGATGTACCCGGGCATATCACCACCGACCAAGAGCTGAGGGACATGTTCACCAAGGACGTCCAGCGCCGGCTCGAGCTCATCAGGAGGAGGAGTGCTCAGTTGTAGCCTCCCCCAGCCCCACCGGTGAGGCACAATCCTTCACTCGCTTCCTCCTTTTCATTTATACTGAACTGTTGAAGGATGTGAGTTTGAATACTGAAGTGTTGTTTTTTTTAAAAAAAATGTAGTTCAGATTTTAACGTTTTTTTTCCTCGAACACGCAGGAGAGCTATGTATCATTATATGAAGAAGAATAAAGGAGTGGGTTTAGAAACCCCATACAGCCACACACCTACACACACCCTTTTACATCTAATATTGTACCTCTCTCTCTCAAATTCAAACTTGACCCAAGACCACTAGAGAGGAACTCACACATTAGCTGGCTCTAGAGCAAGGATTTTGTTTTATGTTTGTGCTTATGTATTTGGTTTGTGCATGTCTAATCATAGCAGTAATTTCAGCTAGAGAAAAAGTGTCGAGTAGCATTTTTCAGTTAAGTTATGATTGCTAAGCAGAGAAAACGAAAACACTGGTTCTAGGACTGCATGTATTTCTTTCTAATCTTCAACTTCAAGTTTTTGTTTTGATATAATCTCTCGGTGACATAAGGACCCAATCGATTGACACTTGCAACAAAAAACGTAAGGCTTGTCAGTTCTAAATCCAAATATATTTTTGAAGGTAGTGATAGCCTTGAAAGCCTACCATTCAAGATACAGTACATGTACTCTTCAGTTGCCTTGTGATGGTGTCTTTCCTCAAATGGTAGTTCATAATGAAGCGCTAGAATTGTCACCTGTAGCTGCATTTTTCAGTTAAACAAACGTGGTGTAGAAAGATGATACTACAATTAATTTAAAGAATAGTTTATTGGTGGATAACACAAAGTTTGTCCTAGGTTGTCTCCAACAGGAGACCCGTTGCGGAACCCAAACCCAAAATGGGTCTCCAGCACAATGCCTATAGTCTCCAATAGAGTACCTATACGGAAGACTCATTTTAGGTGCCAGGAGAGGCATAACCCAAATCTAAATATCCTCTTTTCTAGAGACTCATTTGCAAAAAGGGTTGTCTTTTGGGTCTTGTTGTTGGAGAAGACAAAAAATAAGTATTTAACCCTTTGCCTGTATCGCTACCAAAAGAAGAAATGGGTCATGTATTTTGGGTCGCGGTTGTTGGAGAGAGTCTTAGAATCAAGCATGGCTGAAATGGGCCCGGCCCCGTTCGCTGGTCTGAAATTTGGCTGAAATTGGCTGAAAAATATTGTTCCGACTAAATTGCTGTGAGAGGAAAATACTGTTTCGGCTAAAAAAAAGCCGAACAAGTCGAATATCGCGTAACCCGAACAGGGGTCCTTTGTTTTTTCTTTAACTGGCACACTTACTCCTTCTGACATTCTTTCTTCATTTGAAGAGGAAAGGACCTCTAACTGTAGGATTATAATGTGGAAGGTTCTGTACATGGATTTTAAAAAGTATGTCAGTACATTGTCACATTTTACACTTCTGAAAAACTAATAGGACTATACATGATGTTCAGCAACCGCATAGTTAGATCATTCATTCCAAGTTTGATGCCTGCATTCACTTCATCTTTGTTACAAATTGCAATTGCATTGTCGCGTACGGTGGATTCTGTCTATGACCTGTTGTGTGACTTGTGTATTTCCTCACTTCTTCTCAGGTACAGCAATCACCCCTGCCCCCACCGCCACCACCACCACCTCCACCGGCGCCGCACCCATGCGCAAAGAGGCTGGCAATCGGACCGCCTCCGGGGTTCGCGGGTGTTCGCACGCCACCGCAGAAGCAATACCAACGCCGGCCACCAGGGCCGAAGGCGCCGGCGCAGCCACCACACCAACCGGCGCCGCCGAACGCCCACCGCGCCCTGGCCCCACCAGCGCTGAACGCACAAAGGGCGGGGCATGCTTCGCAGCCGCCGGCGGCAGGCGCACACGGCGCCGCCACGGCCGCGCCGCCAGTGCACGCCGGCCCCACCAAAGCCACCTCACCCAGCGGCGAAGAAGAAGCCCACCGTGCCGTGCGCCTTCTGCGGCGTGCTGTGCATGACGGCGTGGCACCTGAAGCAGCACGAGCAGGGGCGGAAGCACCGCAACAGGGTGGCCTACCTCGCCGGGGAGATGAACGTGCGGTGCAAGGTGTGCGACGTGCACCTCTCCAGCGGGCTCAACGTCGAGCAGCACAACGCCGGGAAGGAGCACCTCCTGCGACTCAAACTCAACAGAGGAGCCTGAAACGCACGGTCGCCCCTTTTACTTTTGTGGCGGCACGCATGCTTATGACTTCACTATCTGCTGAAACTACATATATGACTTAAAACAATATATGTGATGATACTATATGTTTAGTTCGCTTGAACTTATCAGTCGGTTTATCAGCTAGAATCTACAGTATTTTTCTCTCATAATAAAACAGCTTCAGCCGACTTTAATACCAGCCGAACATGCCCGTTTGGACACTGTTTATATATTTTCGTTAGCATCTGCTACTGTATCTATCATTTGGATTGTGTACTCTGTAATGGATTCTCAGATTTGTTGATGTGTTTGACTCTGCTATGTCCGGCTCCTTATTATTTATGTGTGCTCTCTTCGATGCAGTGGTTATTAGGATTGTTTTATGTGTCCTATTCCATTATCTGTCCTTTGAAACCATGTATCGTGAAGCTTAATTATTTTGTTTCCTGAGGTCTCTGAAAGTCTTAGGTGATGCGTATGCGTATCCATCTTTTCATTGCATTGCTCCAACGACAGTACGTAACGTGTGGTTGGCAAAAGTGAGCATAGCACGTAGCAGTGAAAACTGACATCATCTTCCTCTAGTCTAGTTCTCCAGTTTGCATCGCCCTAATCCAGCTTCCTGACTCCTGAGATACAGCTAATTAAGCCGAACACAAGTTTTTGTTATATGCCAAAGCAACAGGTGTGCCCGGGCCATGCCTCTAGTCAATTGTCGTTACTCGTTAGACAACCAATCGTAGCTACCTCTGAACGCGTCGAACAAACTGTGGGTACGGTGTGGGTGCATTGCAGGTAGATGCAACTTCCTTTTGTTTCCTTTTTCAGTCAGCAAACACATGGATTCTTCATTCTTCTGGCTTACGACAGGGCAGCTGGGCTTTGGCATTGGCAACGTCGGACACGTACGGTTGGTTAGTTACTTTTCAGTTTCACTTTGTGGTTTGTAATACATGATGATCTCGTCAGGGTCAAAGGTGGCTGCAGTTTGGTTTGGAAGGCAGCGCACCTACTAGAACAAACACAGCAGCAATGCGATGGATCACCTATCCATTGTGTACGAGGAACAAATCCGGATAAAATCTTGTCAAGACTGCTTACACATACCGGAAGCAACCACGATTCCACTGTGTCCAATCACAGCGAGCAAGCTGAAGCAGCTCCACACGCCATCATATATTTGTGGATGCCGACTGCTGCATGTGCATAACTATAGTTAACTACTATAACCTACGTAACTGCAAGCGTCTTCCAGCCTTTGAGACGGCAGTACTTGAGTTTCCACGATCTAGCTCAGCGACCCCCGCGACCCGTGCGTCACCTGCATGCGGGCTGCGGCCTTTTGCCGGGACGCGTGGGAAAAAACAGTAAAAGCTAGCGGAAACCACGGGCGGTTCGGCGCGGCCAACTAGAGGTCGCACGCTAACTGTTCGTGACGCCGACACGACGCGAGATGGCGAGGAGCCGCGGAGGCGGAGGCGCCATGCAGTGGCTGGGCAAGGGGGCAGTGGTTGCGTTTGGTCACCACTCGGCACTTGCCAGTCGATCGCCACCACCGGCCAGCATGGGCATGGCACCGATCAGGGCAGGACGCGCGAGCGGGCGAGACACGGGCGCTCGGCTCGGCCACCAACCAGCCATCCTCCTCCTCCCCCGTCCGGCCGTCCCTGACAGGGCCGTCAGGCGCGCGATTTTTCTAACAACTGCCGCCGCGAGTCCGATCGAGTTGGCTGTGCGCCTGCGCACGGTACGCCCCACCGGTTGGATGGCGTGTCCGATTCGTCGCGGGCGACAGCGGCAGTCCGGGACGGGTGATCCGGATGCTCTGCATTAACGGCGATCGATCAATATTTGTAGACAAGCAATGTTTCATCATCAGTCAGTGAAATAAGGCCTGGTCTACAGTTTTCTCCCGCAGCGATAAATCGTCGGCCACCGTAGCTACAGGAAATAAGGAGGACGTTCCACCAGACACACTGCGTCATCGACATCCATCGCAGCAGTAGCATGCAGATTAAAGAAAACCATGTAATGGAATCAACAGGCAAGAGCACTGCCACGTCATTAAGAGGGTACGGTGTTGAAGGCCGGATTATTTTTAAAACAGAAATGTTATACAACACACATGTGTTTTGTTTTTTCGTTGGCACACGAATTTTGTGTCTGTTGGATGGGCATCGTGTGCTTGTGCTTGCCACCGCCGTTTGTTTCTCTGTGTTGTGGGTCTCGATTATCAGTGCTACTGTTTAATTTCTTTTGGACTCCACGCTTGATTTTGTGTCGTCCGTTTTCCCATTTTCCCATCCTCATTTCGTTTTGGCTTCCTCTCGTCGACTCCCGGCATGCTCGACGACCTGCGGCACGCTCGACACCCGCTACGAGGCCACGCGCGCCCGCGTGGAGGGCGTCCGCGTGTTACATCTCGAATTTTGTTAAATAAATGGCAGCGACAGAAAGAAAAGTATTATTAGCGTTGGTTAGAAAAGCAAGAATACCAGCGTCAGCAAAAAAAAGAGAGGTATGAAAGAAAGCAAGCTGAATCACATTGAAATTGTCCTTTCTTCAGATATTGTTGGAATGAATGTTTAAAATTGCCTACTAGAAATAATTGCCCAGAGTGCAGTAAGCAATATTAGGAGTTTAGACAATCTCAAGCCAACCGCCGGTCTATCCATGCTTGAGATGAGTATCATCATAATAATATGGATCGACGCTTAAAAAATAGAAGTATTCATGATCGGTTTGGAAACCGAGTTGTTGATCAAAACTAGGCTGATTGTGGAGAAGAAGATAATGAAGAAGAATATGTTTGGCAGGAAGGCTAATGGTGTCCAGGACGTTTGACGAGAAGCTAGAAAAGAAGGGTGCAACGCCTAAGGAAAAAAGAGCTAAAACAGTCTCGGGCATCTGGAAGACCTCAAGTGTGGCGTGCTAAACAAACAGCCGATAGGGGTCAGCCATCGGCTAATATTTAAATGGCTTTTCTGTTGCCGTCAGAATTCAGGGCTCCAACAGATCAAGAGGTCTATTCAGATTTTAATGAATCGGAGTATGAAGAAATAGTTGCCAAGTTGACAGTGATACAACAGGCTATATTCGATAAGCCAGTCAAGCATTGGCACTTAAAAGCTTTATATGTAAAATATGCTAACACATGTGCACAAGGTGATACACTTGGTGGTTGGCACATTTGAGGAAGGATGAAGAAGATAGAGGTGAAAAGGAGTTAGTCGCGCTGGCCACAGAGTGACCGGACGCGTCCGGTATGATGACCGGACACGTCCGGTATGATGACCGGACACGTCCGGTATTAACGACGAGCACAGCGACTGGACTGGACGCGTCCGGTGTGAATCAGCAAAGTCGATGTTCGGTGAAACAGTTGATCGGACGCTGGCAGCGTCTGGTCCGGAGTGACCGGACACGTCCGGTCGACTGTGGGTGCTTACTGGACTCAACCGGACGTTGAGGCTCAGCGTCCGATCAGTTTCTAACAGACACGTCCGATCGGCCTCGGGTACTCTCTGGACTCGGCCGGACACTGCAGCTCTCATGAAAAACATGGATCAAGATGTTAGAGGCATTCAACTTTCAAATGCCATGAAGAACATGGATGTTGGTGAATTGAGGCCTAGGCAAGTGAATGATGATGAAGATGATCAAGTGTAAGTGCTCTCTAACTCAAATGTGCAAGATGATACAAATCAAGCTAGTACAAGTGGCTCTCATAAAAATGAACAAGATCAAGTGGCTAGTACATCATCTCAACCCAATGATCAAGCAAGTGAAAGCAATCAAGCAAGTGGATGCCTACTCTATGTAACCGCATCAAGGCTAGATGTCATGTTTAGTGTGTGTAAGATTTCAATCCTCACCAAGAGAAAGTTATTTGAAGGCTACAAAGAGAATAGGTACTTGAAGCATACACAAAATGTTGGTTTGTGGTATCCCAAAGGAGCAAAGTTTGAGCTAGTTGGTTACTCCGACTCGGATTATGCGGGATGCAAGGTTGAAAGGAAGAGCACCTCGGGCACATGTCAATTATTGGGAAGATCACTTGTCTTATGGTCATCAAAGAAGCAAAATAGTGTTGCATTATTAACCGCCGAAGCCGAATACATATCCACCGGTAGTTGTTGTGCACAAGTACTTTGGATGAAGGCCACTTTGACTGACGTTGGAATCAAGTTCAAGAAAGTGCCATTGTTATGTGACAATGAGAGTGCAATCAAGTTGACCAACAATCCAGTTCAACATGCAAGAACAAAGCACATTGATGTCCGCCACCATTTCATAAGAGATCACCAACAAAAAGGGGACATTTGCATTGAGAGTGTAGGCACCGAAGATCAACTTGCCGATATATTCACCAAGCCATTGGATGAGAAAAGGTTTTGGAAGCTAAGGAATGAGTTGAACATATTGGATTTTCTCAAATATGTGTTGATGCAACCCCGCTCATATGACATGCCTCTCCTTTGAGCAATACAAGGTAAAAGTTGATTGGTATGGCATACATCCTTGCTAAGGACATGCTTAGTGCATCTAGACATCTTTCACATTTAATAGGCTCATTTATGAAAATCAAATGAATTTGATGATTATATGGTACCACTATTGCTTCTATGCTTATTTTGATCTAGTGGTAGCATATGACATGTTTGTGGGCTTGTAAACCTAGTGTTTAATCTAGAAAATGAGCTATAAGTGTTTAACTCAACATGGTACAAGATAACCCTTATTTGGAGGAGTGAAGAAGTTTGTCCTTGGATCAAACCGAGTTAAATATCTTTGGCAAATATTCTAGTTTGAACCAAATTTGGAAAAATAATCCTCAACCCATTGATTGACATTGATAATCTCAACCCATCTACTTTTTGAACCTTTGTGGTCATTGATGACAAAGGGGAAGAAAAACAAAGATATTAGTGATATTAGTACATGAGGAGAAAAACAAAGATATTAGTGTACTAAGATAATGAAATGACAACAAGGGG